CCATTAACTTCTTTGTCTACGTGTTACTCTACATCCATTATCCTCAGATTAGGCCTTCTGAAGGTGATTTCCAAATGTTTAATAGATTTGTCATATTTCTTGCATTTGTCTTGGATAGTTGTATGTGCTTTCTCTCTAATATCTAGGCTGTTTTCAATCCCAGAGATTCGATCTTCTGCATGGTCTAACCTACTATCCAGACTTTCTACTTTGTTTTTTATTTCTTTTCCTTCTAATTGGTCGGCTTTGATGGCTTTAAATTCTTTGTTGGAACTTTGTTTTAGATCTTGTATGAACTTCTTCCTTAACTTGGTGTCCAGTGTTTATTCTCAAATCACTTAGTTGATTGGTTATGGTTTCCTTGGATCCCCATTCCTTCTGTCGGGCTCCATTCAGCATTCCCTTTGTGGTCTCCCTGAATTCTTTCAGCTGGATTCCATGAATTTCTCTATTGCTTTGCCTATTCTCATCCCAATCTCTCAATTCCTGTATTACACTTTGATTAGTTTCCTCACGTTCAAACATTTCCTGCAGTTCTCTTTGACTATACTGAGCCTGCTCAAGCAATTCCTGTGTCTCTCTTTTTTCTCAACATGCTCATGCAATTCCTATATTTCTCTTTGACTGTTCTCAACCTGCTCACGCAATTCCTGTATCAATCTTTGAGTAGCTTTCTCACGCTCATGATTTCCTGTATTGATATTTGATTTTCCTCCTCTCTCTCCCTATCACACTCACACTGAGTCCTTTGCAGGTTTCAAATCTTTTCATTCACCATGGTTACCAGTAATATTTGTAGAGCTTTTGGGGAACTCTCCTCTATATTATTCATTAACTGTTCTGTCACCTGATTATCATGAGTGGGAGTTGAGATACCCAGACTTGTCATTTTTCTTGTGTTTTTCCAGCTTGTTCTACCCATTTGGTATGAAAGTGACACCAGTTTTGTGCTAGAACACTATTTTAAGGCAAACATCAACCAAAGTCCTGTAGTTGCACAGTCCAAAGGCTGCAGATACAATCTAGTTCAACAGATACAATCTACTCAACATCAAACAACTATGGATTCATGGGCTAAGAACAGCAAGGAAGAATTTGGCAAACCAGAAATTATTAGGTTTAGGGAGAAATGTGGGGAAAAGTAGGATTAGAGGGATGTGGAGAGGTAAAAGGAGAGTGAATTTAACCAAGTCCTAATCTCAGAAAGGGAAATAGATTGGACAGTATGGTAGGAGAGACATTACAAAAAAGTAAAATGGAAAAACAAAATTTATATTTAAAAAGTGAAACAAAAATTATCTACACTTAAAGATAATATTGAGAGAAGAAAAGGATAGGATTAGAGGAGGGAAGGGATAGAAGAGACATGAAAAACTAAAAAAATAAAAATTATTAAAAATTATATAAGTATAAAGAGATAATACTTCTATTAAAGAAGTTAAGCATAAGAGGTTGTGAACTGAGTAATAAATTTCTGGATTCAATGTGTCCACAATGGAGGATAAAGTCTAATAATCGACGATGGGTATATATCTGAGGATGAGCAGAACAGCAATTAAGTCACTAAAAAACGAAGAGACAAAAAGAAAAGAATGACGAAAGAAGAAAAAAGTGCTAAAAGGTCAATAGAGATAAAAAAGGAAACACACACATATACACCTAAAATAAAATTTATAAGAGGAAAAAAAGATAAATAGAAAACAATTTTTTTATTTTACTTTATTTTATTTTTTGTGAACACACTATAGAGAGGGGTTACAATTGCATGGGCAGGATAATGCGTACATTTTTTTATCAAGCATTGCAGCTTCTTCCTTTGTTTACCCTTCACATCCCTTCCCAGCCTCCCCCATCCAACCCCCACCCAATCCTCCCCGCCTCCCCCCCTTCAACAACACTGTAAAGCTCATAGAAAACAATTTTTTTAAAGTTAAAAATTAAAAAAGGTACAAAAACGAGTTCTTTGATTTTTTTGGGGGGGAGAGGGAGGATGGGAGGATCCTGTATCTCCCTTGTGTCTGTAATCAGTCTCTTGGTAGAGTATCTGGTTTGCTTGTGGTGTTTGGTTTTCCTGTGGCTTGATTGGTTTTTAAGTCAGTTTGTTTAAGCTTGCAGAAAAATGCTCTGCTTTACTCAGAATTTTATGATCCTTCTCTCAGTCTAGTTCAGTGGGAGGAAGATCTGCTTTGAGTATCACAAAAGAGGGAGATTGCTGTTTCTTCTAGTTTGGAGATGCTGTGATGAGGCTAGGTTCTGGGTAGAGTTGAGGCCTTTAGCAAACAGGAGATTTTCCCTGAAGGGCTAGCTCCAGAGATACTCACAGAGCCCAGCCTGAAGCCATTCTCAGGGTTTACGTTTATTGAATTTCAATTGATTGTCTAGGCTGCTGTAGGGAGGGGAAGCCTCTGGCTCTGTTTACCCAGTGAAGAAAGCCCCTCATTCAGGGGCAGGGCTTGCCCTGCCTGGGCTGGGTGAATTTCCTCTGAGTGGAGGTGAGTCTGGCAGGTCAGGTCATGTTCCTGTAACCTGCTAAATGAGTCTTTTGTTTTCTTCCAAGGTCTCAGTTGGAGCTAGCTTCTCAGCCTGGCCTTTGTCAGTATCAAAACAAAGATCTCTGTTGGGGATGAGGGGTAGCCTTCCCTCCTCTGCTCCCTGAGAAGGAGTGAGGATGTCAAGGTTCTACTCATGCTGGAATGTTGGATCCTGGGTCATCTCTGGTCTGCAATCTGCAGGATGAAGATATCTGCTCCTTGTCAGATCTTGCTGGTGTTGAGTAGAATCCACCCCTGCTGCATCTGACACCTTTGTCCTGGACTCTCTGTGTTGTAGGTATTGTGGCTACTGCTACCGCACCAGCCACCAAGGATGCTGCCACCACTGATACTGACAAGTGCTCAGATCTGTCTCCTTGCCTGGATTTTCCCTCTCGGGCCAAACTCTCTGTACTGTAATGGCACACTTGGTGTGATTTTTCTGACCTAGGACTGTTCACTGGAAGACAAAAACTGCTTTCTATGCAAGACCTTGTTTAGCCTCCTGCTTCTCTTCTGCCATCTTCTGTTATTATTAATTGTCTTGCTAATCAATCAACTTACTTATTGCCAATAATTTTATAAGAAGCTCTATTTTATGAAATCCAAGATGTACTCATATCATCTACTACTTACTTTAACATGTTGTGGGTATAATAATTGAAGACAATTTTTGCTTCTTAAATCATTTTTATCCAAATAAAACTAATCTGTTTCATCAATTACCTTTCTCAAGGCTTTCACTTACTAACTTCCCTTGGTCATGGGACTTGAACTCGGGCTTGGTTGCTGTCCCTCAGTCTTCAGCTCAAGGACAGTGCTCTACCACTTGAGTCACAGCACCACTTTCAGTTTTCTGGTGGTTAATTGGAGATAAGAGTCCTATGGAGTTTCCTGAATGGGCTGGCTTTAAACCCTGATCCTCAGATCTCAGCCTCCTGAGTAGCTAGGATTACAGGTGTGAATCACTGGCACCTGGATTCCTTAATGAGTTTTTAAAAATATTACATATTTAGCTAACTCTTTGAAAACATTTGATCTCAAAATGACATTTTTAAAGATGTAAAGTAGTTATCCTTAGACAAACTGGTTGTAAATGGATATTTCCCTTTGGTTTTAAAGCAGGGAGAACAGGAGAATCACATGTAGACTGACATTGCATGAAGAGTCCAAACTTAACAAACTTGAGGGATCTCAGACCATTTCTTTTGGTGTTTTCAAAATGCAGCTAATTTTATCACTTTACATATCACTCTTGTAACTTTCTTCAGGTAATATTTGAAGGAAAGCAACTTCTAGTTAGAAACACTCATACATTGGCCTTTTAGTGGCTTCCAGACATTTCTGTCTCTGTACAGATGCTTTTCTGTTTTCCAGCCATGGCCCAGCAGAATTAGAGACAGCACTGTGTGTATCTCTACATGCATGTGTGGGTGACATCACTCCACTGACCCCCAGCTACAGCATTGAATGACATCAGGATCTCTGGACTCAGAGACATGTGCTTGTTTGTCCATTGGACTCCTCCTGGCTGTACAATGCGGTGGTGGCCTGACAATATACCTACTTCAAGCTCCTCAACATTTCTGATTTCTTAGGGACCCTTCTGAATCATTCTTGTTCTCATAGAATTGTAAAGATCATTGAGAGTTTTGAAGTCTGAGCCTATCTGATGTTTTTGTCCTCTTTTGGGGAGCTTTTTCTCTTATAAATTATTCCGTTTCTCCATCCATTAATATTGAAGATTGTTAGGGACTGGGATGACAAGGCTCTGCTTGGCCAATTATGTACTCTGTATCTTTGGATTTCAATGAGAAATAATGACCAATAAGCAAACTATTGCTGCAGCTGCTCATTTGGACAACTGTAGTTATGTTGGTGCACTCACATTTCTTCCTTAAAAAAATACATTCATAGATTCCTGTAGGAAACTGCAACAGATTAACATCTTGCTCTAAAATTCTTAAAGAAAGAAGAGAGAGAATCAGAAAATTTCCAGTAAAATACACTCAGTAATATAGCAAAATAGAAAAGATGTGAACAGAAATATACAGCTAAGTCAGAGAATGGACTTGAGTTACCATAATGAGGCATGGAAATGTTCAACAGCATAACTTTCTATACCAGTAGCTTAGCAGTATAGTGATATTCAAGCAGTGATATAGCATAGGTAGGAAGAATAATTGAGGCAGGAAAGAGAAAGGAAAAAGCACAGTAGATAATGTACTCGTTAGGAAGTATGATAACATAAAGGACAGATTACACTGGAGGAAGCATAAAATATCCAAGTTAGAATGAAAATGTAGGAGGTATTGTTGGGAATGTGCTATGACTCTAACATAACCAGAAAAATAAATAAGAGTAACTGCTTTGTTCAAAGAATTCCTCACATTAAACTAAGATGTGACTGAAATTGGTATAGATTGTTCTCAGAGCCTCTGACCATTCTAGGCAACAGTTATGTTTATCTTAATGTTTATTTCTTCTAGAAAGTGATCTCTCCCTGAACCTGGAGAAAGAATTTCTCTCAGGTTTTATCAGGATGATGTAGCACTTGGGGGCAAAGATGCAGCCTAGGAGGCCTGCACTGGAGGCCAAAATGGAGAAGACCTCCACGGCCACCATGACCTTCCCCTTGGTGCTTTGGTAGACAGACAGGAAGGCGAGCCACACACTGCAGAACACCAGCATACTGAAGGTCAGGAATTTGGCTTCATTGAAGGTGTCAGGCAGGTTTCTGGCCAGAAAAGCCACAGTGAAGCTGGCCAGGGCCAGAGAGCCAAGATATCCCAGGACACAATAGAAGGCAGTGAGAGAGCCCATGTTGCACAGGATGATGATGTAACCATGTTCAGATTGTGCATCTGTGTCCACAAAGGGAGGAGAGAATCGCAGCCAGAGGCCACAGAGGGTCACCTGGATGAGAGTGCAGATGGCGATGAGGAAGTTAGGAACCCAGAACAGCAGCCACTGTCTCGTGTGTCTCCCTGGAGCAGTGAGAGTGAAGGCCAGAACCACAGTGATGGTCTTGGCCAAGACCGTGGAGACAGCCACGGTGAAGACCACTGCAAATATGGTATGCTGGAGGATGCAGGCAGCTGTGTGGGGACGGCCAAGGAAGAGCAAGGAGCAGAAGAAGCAGCAGATGAGGGAGATGAGCAGGATGTAGCTGAGGGTCCAGTTATTGGCCTTGACAATGGGGGTGTCTTGGTGCTTGATAAATACCCAAAGAACAGCAGCTGTGAGTGCAGTGCAGCAGAAAGCTGTGCAGGCTAGAGCCAGGCCCAAGGGGTCTTCATAAGCAAGGAAGTTCTCAGTTTTCATCAGGCAGAGGTTTCTCTGGGTGTTGGCAAACTGATGATCTGCACACCTGACACACTGCTCCATGTCTGCTGAGGAGTGAGAATCACTATTTGTGTGTGTTCAGTATTTGTGTTTCCTCTCAGGCCCTTCAATCAAGTAGCTTGCCCATTTTCCCTGATTCACCAATGACCTGTACTGAGTTCAATACCAATAGAGTAACTCTCTATATCAAAATGCTTTCACATGAAAACTTTCTCACATTTCTTCTTCCTCTCCTCCCTTTCTCTTTTTTATGTTCATCTCTCTCTTTCCTTCCTTCCTTCCTTCCTTCCTTCCTTCCTTCCTTCCTTCCTTCCTTCCTTCCTTCCTTCCTTCTCTCCCTCACTCCCTTCCTCCCTCTTTCTCTCCCTCCCTCCCTCCCTAGCTGTTCCTTCCTTCCTTCCATCTGTCTGTCTTTCCTCCAGTGCTTGAACTCTGGTCATGGGACGTATTCATTCTCAAAACTACCACTTTACCACTTGAGCCACAGCTCAAATTCCAGCTCTTTTGGTGCTTAATGTTGGGAAATATTCTTACTGAGTTTCCTGCCCACCATTATATCAAAGCTCCATCCTCAAATCTCAACTGCCTGAGTCGCTTGGATTACAGGTGTAATATATAATTACCAGTATTATGTGCGGCATTCTTGACAGGTCATACAACTCTGGTACTCTGCTACTCATTCAAGAAATAATGGGGAACAGAGAATCAGCCCAACCACTTCACTTTGTATAAGAGGGTCTAATCCAAACCTCAACCTACTCCTTACACCAAACACAGACTTCCTGATCATTTGATCTGTGCCAAGAACAATGTTCCTCCACTGATATGATAGAGTCTGGGAAAGATCAGCTGGAGGAGGAAGAAGAGAAATAAAATGGATATGGTAAACTACTTCTGAATCTTTTAAATTTGAAGAATTGCTAGTCAGGCTAGTGCCAGTGTCAGATATGGAGTAATCATAACAAAGCCCCTTGTATCATTAGTGTATGCATTACTCTCCCTCATTTGTTTTTTATGTTTTTTTATTGTAAAAATACTGTACAGAGTAGTTACAGTTACATGAGTAAGGTAATGAGTACATTTCCTATCCAGCATTGTTGCCTCCTCCTTTGTTTTTCCCCTACCATCACTTTTTTCTCCACCTCCCCAAGTACTCCCCCCCCCCCCCCCCGTGAAAGCTGTAAAGATATTTTTTAATATAGTGTCTTGTACATCTCATGGTTACAATGGGTCAACCTCAATTCCTATTTAAGCAGTTTGTTTTTACCTTCTCCTCCCCAAATTAGATAAATATATATACAAGATGCAGGGTACTGGAATCCAATACAGTGAAAACAGGTGTTATACCATAGGGAAGGAACATACCAAAGAAACAAAAAAATCTCATTGTACATTATAAATACATTAAAAAAAGGAAAAAACCACTTGTGTCCCTATCTTAGTGTTCATTTCCCTTAACATCAACTTATATGATCATTTATACATAGCTTTTGACCTTTTCTGCTTGTCCTAGATATATACTAGTTATTGCAATAAGGGAAACCATGGGTGTTTTATTCTTTAAATAAAAAAATGTGACTGAGGAGAGGGGAGCAGGTTTATTCTCAAGATGAAGCCTGTAATAGATTAGAAAATACAATCAGATATGTAATAGAGGGACAGTGGGTTGTTTCTTCTAAGGAGAAGTATGGTTAATGGTAACCGTGGAACTCTGCGTGAAGGTGCATGCGTGTTCCTTACATGTTACTGCAGATCACTCCACTGGCTTGCATGGACTGAAGTTTAGGAAAGAGAGATGGGGAATTTGTCTGTACAGACTCACCTGTCATATTAGAAATCTCATTCTTTGGGCAAGGAGTGCAATCAAAGCAACAGGTAGCATTTCCCTCCAGAGAGGCCTTCCTGAATCCAGGACCACAGCTATCAGTGCAGACAGACTGAGGAGTCTGAGAATATTCAGATGAAGGTTAGTGCCCATTTATCCTTTTACCTAACATCTGAGACACTCCAGTGATTTAGGGGAAAAGATAATCAAAACACATAATCTTTCTATACACAGCTAATAAATTGAGACTGAACCTTCCTACAGTTTCATCTGAAATGAGCTGAAGAACATGTGGGGCCTCGACACCCAGCCCCTCATGCTATCGGGAAGTCATGGAGCCTTGAATTGGTGGATGTTAATTCTAGGAAATTAGGAAATGGGAGTTAGTCCTGCATCTCATTCTTGAATTCAGGTGATGTGAACAGAGGAATAAGAGCATGAGAGGAAATCATTCAGGGAAACTTCAAACCCACACTCTAAAGCATAGCTAATTGCTTTGGAAGTGCTGCTGTACCCAGGGCCATTCACATCTCTCTTGGCTTTCTAGCTGTCAGGAAGTGGGTGGATTTTACTGGCAGATGCTCTTTTCATTACATCCTGTCTCACCACAGACTCAGAAGCAATAATCTTCTCAACCATGGTCTGACATCTACAGGCAGAAGCAAAGCAACCCTTTCTGCCTTCTAAATTGATTCCCTCAGATATTTGGTCACAATGCTGGAATGATGATTCCCAGGTGTCATTCACCTTTATGATATTCAATATGCAAACATAGCACAACATATTGGTAACGAAATTGTTCCCCTGCGTCCTCCATGAATCTGTTAGCAAGAATATTCGAGAAACAGAACATTTAAAATGTATACTAAGACAAAGTTTTATTGAACAAGCTTTAAAACAGGATAAGCTTATTGCTCATTTATACATAGATCATGGCATTATGGTTAGAAAAGACCAACCCTGGGGGAGAAATAAGGATGTGGTGACATTGTCTACAAGCATTATAATCGTAACCTGACTTAGGGAACTGTAAGCTCTTTCTACAACTACTTCCTACTAACAATATATTTTTTTTAAAAAAAGGAGAGAATGAAAAATGTAGAAATGACCCACCTTGGTAATTCCTATGGGCCACTCTATCAGATTTTCAAACAAAATCAGTTGTTGACCATGTGGCCTAGATGGAGAAAACTCGCCAACTTTCACCTTTTGTCCCAGACCTTCTGGAAAATTCCAAAAGCTCTTAATGTCATACTCTGCCTCCAATTTCCTTTCCTCATTCAAAACCACTTGGTCTCCAACAGGATTGGTAAATTGGATCTTCTTCAAAAAGGGATGCAGCTAAAAGGGACACATTATAGTATGGTGAAGCGCTACCCAGAGTTATCACAGAACCCCAGAACAATGGATTACTCTTCATTCCCATCCCCTGATTCACACACACCACAGGAATCCAACCAACTGTATCAAATGCAGGCCCACAGCAGACTAAAGTGTTACCAAGTTCTAAAACCTGGGTATCCAGGATGGGATGCAGGAACTCAATTTCAAGCGAATGTAACTCCAGCCACATCTGACCAAATAATGAATTATTATATAACAGACCTCAAAGAACTCTCTAAAGTGCATTCCAATCACTTATTTTGTGATTGAGATCAGAGAATCAATCTGAAATATAGGTAAATAACAAACTAAGTGGAATCATAGAATATTTTTGACAACCATGAAAGATTACCTTATGCAAGACTTAGTTCACTGTGTGTATGTGTGTGTGTGTGTGTGTGTGTGTGTGTGTGTGTGTGTGTGTGTGTGTGTGTTTATGCTTCCTTGTGGTTTGACCTCAGAGCCTAGGTACTAAACTTGAGGTGTTTTTTTTTTTTTGGTTCTTTTCAAAGTAATCATTCCATCCATTGAGTCACAGCTCCCCCTCTGGCTATTTGGTGGTTAATTGTAGTCAGTAGTGAGCCACAGGTGTGAGCCACTTGTGTCCAGACAATATTAGGTTTTCAGGAATTATTCACCCTTGATCTGTTATTTTAAAAAGGTACAGGGAGAATTTGAATATATCCTATTGAAAAGGGATGGCTTTTTCCACACATAGTGAGGATGGGGAAAGTAGACCCAGCACTTCCTTGTCATGGATGAAGGGTTCTTCAAGAACATTGTCTTCAGATATCGATAGTCACATCACGGAGAGCACAACAGGCCCAGAGTCTCTTGTGTTTTCCAAAATGGAGCCAGACGACCTGGTTCCATCTGCTATGAAAGCTTCTATAGAAAGTCTGCATGCCTAGAGTAGGTCACCCAAAAGCAAAGTCATTACCTGTGAAGAGAGAAATGCCCTGGGTTGCCCATTGTGAACTTGTGGCTCTTCCATGTAATGAAGAAACACCTGTTGGAGGGCATGGGCCACAGCATACACGGCGTTGTAGATATTGTAACTCTCTTCGGACATGGTCATGTCAAAAATGTGCCTCAGCAACCATTGCAGTGTGGCATTGTATGAACAGTTCTCCATGTCTCTGCAGTCAGACTTAATCAGGACACAATAAACAGACTGAATCCATGACATGGGAAGGGAGTTATTTCTTGAGTTCTTGGAGAAGGTCTCTTTGAGAATAAAATTGGTGAACCCAGAAGTGCTTCTATGATGGTGAGAGAAGATAAGAGGTGCATGGAAAGGGTCAATGAGAAAATGTTTCTTAGAAATAGTCACATCATCATAGGGTGAGTTCAGGACCCAGACTTTGCCTGTAATTAGAATGTGCCTAAATTTAAGAATAAAGCTTAGTAGAAATTTACTGTCCCCATATATGATAATCACCTTGGCTGATGAGTCCATTAGCTGGTGCTGCATCGATAGATCATTTGAGAAATCTGAAAGGACACTGTAAGTGATTATGTTCTCAAATGCAAAACAGACTCTACTCTTGTCCATCTCTTCTCTCAATTCTGAGAGGAACCACATACCATAGTTGTCTTCAGTGATGAACAGTCCCACCCAGGTCCAGCTGAAATGAACCATCAAAGAGACCATAGCCAAGGCTAGACCTGAGTGCTTGGCAGCCATCTGATAGACAGTACCAAACGTTCCATGGTCACTCAGAAGAGGATTAAAAGACCCAAAGGTGAACTACAGGAAACAAATGAGCACAACATCAGGAAGAAGGTAACCATAGGCAAATCTCAGTCCTGATGTGAATGACACAACAATTGGTAGTAGAGTGGTGGGAACAAAAGTTTGCTTATCCCATTTGCAAAGTCATCTCCCATGTTCTGAGCTCTTTGTAGATGTGTACAGATAAGGCTCAGAGCTTTGGGTCATCCTTTCCTCCCAACACCCCTCCTTTTATTTGCAGCAATGAAAATGTGTATGTCCCACCCACTTTTGGAGGCTTCTCCCTGTGAGAGTATGCATTTGGAAGGATTTGTGATACCACCTCCTGTTCAGCCTGTTGAGGATAGAGTCCATGTGGACATGGCTTCACATCTGCCCACGCCTCCCAGCCTCACCTGTGGAAGTTTGTAGAGGTCCAGCAGTGTCCCTATTGGGACAAATGTGCTTGGGGTTCCTGTGAGTGCTGCTATAGCTTTGCTGTCTCTTCTGCAGGTGTAATTAGGGCTGTTTTTATTCTTCCCAGACAACCAGGTGAAAGGATCCTCTAACATATCAGTCCCTGAGTAATGTGCACTATAGATCTCAAACCCCAGAGTCATGTTGGATAGCAGATGGGGATTCTTGTTGATGTCCTCCACAGCCAGCAGCAGGGTGAGAAGCAATTGGTATTTCTTTAAGTTGATCCTGCACAGAAATCACAAAATTTGGGTAGGTATATGAGTATTACAAATGATTAACTGTGAATCTCAGGACTTTGTTGAATCAAATGCTGATTTCTACACACAGTAGTATGTGTAGATCCTACGGGATGGCATTCTAACTTGGAGTCTAAGAAAAGTTCTTAGGAGTTCCTGAACAGGCCTTGATCAGGATACACGAGATGACTAGTCTTCTGAGATTTCAGAGAGAGAGAGAGAGTGGGGGGAATGAGCAAGGTGGCTTTTCCTCGCTGTCCTGTATGGATTTGTGAAAAACATTGCTGACTGTTGGGACATAGGAGCAGGCCCAGCTCACATCCCAAATCATTAAGTACTTTGAATTAGCTGTGCATATGAAAAAAACTCTTAAGAAATAGATTCCAATTGGCAACAGATTGTCCACCTGAGTTCACCCAGTATGAGCAGAGAGGCAGTGCCTGCTGTGTTAGGAGTAAATAAGCACACACTGCTGCCCTGTGTCTGTTCTTGCTCGCCAATGGTATGTCCTTCTGAAAAGAAGTGAATCTTGCCTTGTGATGAAATTAAAGAAAACACAGATGTACAAAATTCATTTGATGTGGTAAAGGCACACTACGCTGACTCGGAGAATGTCATCATTCAAGGGGATTCCCCAGAAGCAGAGAAAAATGGCAGCCCAGGAAGCTAGAACATGAAGATTGCCTCACCCAACAAAGAACAGAAGAGAGTCAGGGAGTATGGACTGGAGGATACTTCACTAGTAGAACAAACAACAGAAAAAGATGTGTGAGAAAAGGGGGAAGAAGCCATCTCCATGTTCCTCCCCATCACCAGCATTATAGCTCATTATGTACAGAAACCCTCTGACATTGCAGGAAGTGAGAGAATTAAAGTTAAATCTCAGCACTATCCCCATACACTGAGACCAGTGCTGGGGAAGTGCTTATAGTCTCTAATCTTGGGTTCAGACATTTAGATTTTGCCTCTGGAACTGGTTCAGGACAGAGAAGGAAGACACTGCCACAACCTCCCTCTTCCAATCTTGTGAACGACAGTAGGTATGGGAAACAGTCTCCTAGTGAGCATGGCATAAGAGTGGGTCAGGGTTTTTCTTCGAACCCTTTGTCAGGCATGTCATGGTTGGGCCAAAAATCCAGAATAAACTAGAGGCACTGTTAGGTGCTGGCACCCCAGCTTCCATTAGAATCTTTCAGAAGGTGTTGGAAGGTCCCTGAGGCAGAACCAAATGCCATTTCCATTAGTTTCCACCATGAGTAGAGTAGGATGAAACCTGTCTTCCTGCTTAACCTTGTGAAGGCACTGTTCCTGTGTGACTCTGTTGTCATCTGGTCAGTCCCAGTCTTGTTGCTCAGTGAATCATCTGAGGGACCATTGCCCTAGAAGGACAGTGCTCAAGATGGCATCAGGCAGAAACATAAGTTGCTCTAGGAATGCAGTGTTCATTGGTCTATAGCAGCATAAGCTAGAGTGTGGCTTCAGTGTATCCACATGTCAGTTTGGGCTTTCTGGATGCTAGATAGCCTGAGTGGATGGTAGTATTCACCAAGTTGTCCCTGTGGCTTCCTTTTTTTTTGCCAGTGTGGGTCTTGAACTCTGGGCCTGGGTTATGACCCTAAAGTCTTCAGCTCAAAACTAGCTCTCTAACTCTTGAGGCACAGTGCCACTTCAGGCTTTCTTATGTTTTATTGGAGATAAAAGTGTCATAGACTTTCCTGCCTGGGCTGGCTTTTGGATTTGAACCCTGTTCCTCAGATCTCAGCCTCCTAAGTAGCTAGGATTATAGGCGTCAGCCACCTGTGCCAGATTGTGGCTTCCTTTACACACCTTACCGAGGTGCTATGGCACAGCATGTTTCTCCATCCCACTTGTCATGGGTAGGACAGGGAAGTAAGATGGTGATATTGGCCCACAGGTAGTGTGTGCCAGGTGTTAGTACTAGAACTTTGCCATGACTCCATAACTAGGACAAACTATGGCAGAGCTCTATAATCACCTTAGAACCTGGGAAACTCATCTACTACCAGACAGTCTGAATTCTATTCTAGCTATCACTAATTGTGTATGGTGTGGCCATCTTGGCCCACGAGCCCACTTCTACCACGTACTACCTGGGTGGATGTTAGTGCTCACTTAGCACTAATTTGGTCTTGATTGCAATGGAGTGAGGATGCTGTACTCAGGCAGGACAGACTAAGGAAAATGAGGCCTGGTTAATGCATGCCAGGAATTCAAAAACTCAAGCTTAAAGCTTGTCCATCTACTTCCCTTAATATTAAGGGAATGAAGTTATTTAGGGGAAAATGGAGTAGAAAAGGTTAGTAAAAATGAGGTATGGGAAGCTTACAGCAAATAGAGAGCTACTCATCCATCTACATATCTTAATAGTAAGGGACCAAAGCCATTGAGCACAAAAAGATGCTGGATAAATGAAGGAAAAAACAATGAGTCCTAGAGAAAGCAAGACGGAACCATGTGATTTAGAAACACAGGGCTACTATCTTTACTTCAAAGAGAGACGACAGGTTGCATTGCTTCCTGAGAGATGCATTTCTCATATGAATTAGCAGTTGTCTTGTAGGGTATATGCCTTCCTTCCAAGATGCTCCCCCATACTTAAGCAATGTTCTACCCCAAATATTGACAACAGCACACCTTCCTTCCCTCAAGGATAAACATCTGTAAAGAATGGCCAAAGCATACAGAAACTCAGAAAGTGTAACACTAGGAGTGATTAGAGCAAAGGTGAGACACCTATGTTTGTGTAACTTTGAAATCAAACCTCCTGCCTTTACCATATGAATACCCCTGACAACCCAAGAGCTGTGTGTCTCTCTTCAGTTAGAGTGTGTCTTTGCCTTTCTGTTTCCTGTTTGTCTACTTGCTTTCTTGTTTGCTTCCTTACTCTGTAAAGCTCTGCTACATTTTCTTACTGTTGAGATTTGTCTAGAATTTCTTCTTCTGTGATCAAAGTCAAGGATTCCAAGTGAAGAGTCCCTACTTTTAGAGGAAAACTTCATTAACCTTCATCTGTTTTGGTTACCCTTTGGTTGGTATTCCAGGTGTAATAGAGTTCTGGTGGCCAGAGCTGTGACCAAGGCCTGTTCCAGCACACAGATCTTGCCACTGCTAGGCATATTTGGATCCACAACTCATTAGGGTTCTCTTGAGGGTTTTAGAACCACAGAGTACTTGTCATCAAAATTGCCTTTGGTTTTCTCTGGTACTGAAGTGGTTTATCACCTCACAGCTCACTTCCCTCAAGGCCTGCACTCCCTCTAGTGCCGCCATTGTGGAAGTCACTACAGACTCAGGAACACTGAAGCCTGCCTGGAATTTCTGGAAAGACAGGCACAAAGCCAGACCAGGCAGACTGGGCTAATTCTGAGACATTTCGAAGGCCAGATGGTATCATGTGCCACTATGAATCAAGAATGTTGCAGAAAGATGAGTTCTCCTAGCATTCAATAGAATCATTTTGGGGAAATTCTCATAGAGACAATCTCAACTCTCATGGATGTTTGCTGATTTCCTTGTGTACAATGTAACTGAGGCTTGACAGCTTGCATGTCAGTAATACTAAATATGAATTAGTAACTGGTGGCTCAGGTCTGTAATTATAACTACTAAGCAGGCTGAGATTGGAGAATTATGTTTTTTGCTCACTTTGGGCAGGAATGTCTGTGACACACTTATGTGCAAGCAATCCCACAGAAACTGGTAGTAGAAAATCCTTGTATATCATCCTACACCAGAATCAATTCCAAATGGATCAAAGATCTCGGAGTCAAAGCAGACACTCTGAAAACATTACAGGACAGAATAGGAGAAACCCTAGGTCTTGTTGAGACCCAGAAACACAACAAATCATAGAAAGGTTGGACAAATTGGATTGCATGAAATTGCAGAGCTTCTGAATGGCAAAGGACATAGCTAGCAAGATCAATAGAAAGCCCACAGATTGGGAGTAGATCTTCACTAGTCATACAACAGACAAGGGTCTCACATCTAAATTATACTTGGAACTCAAAAATTAAATCCCGCAATAACAAATTCTCAAACAAACAACTTCCCAATAAATAAGTGGGCTAAAGACTTAAAGAGAAACTTCTCTGAAGAGGAAAGAAGGATGGCAAAAAAGACACATGAGGAAATGCTCAACCTCCCTAGCCATAAAAGAAATTCAAATCAAAACAACATTGAGATACCACCTCACACCAGTTAGAATGGCTATAATCAAGACCTCTAATAACAACAGATGCTGGAGGGGATGTGTACAGAAGGTGGGAGTGTAAACTTGTTCAATCACTTTGGAAAGTAGTAAGGAGGTTCCTCAAAATACTCCACATAAAGCTCCCCTATGTCCCAGCAATCCCACTTTTGGGCATTTACCTGAATGATCACAAACAAGACCATATTAAGCACAACTATGCACAATAAGTAAAACTATGTTTATTGCAGCATTATTTACCATAGCTAAGATATGGAACCATCCCAGATGCCCCTCAGTAGATGAATGGATCAAGAAAATGTGGTATAGATACGCAATGGAATTCTATGGCTCCATCAAAAAGAATGGCATTGCCCTATTTGTTAGGAAATGGAAAGACTTAGAAAAAATTATATTAAGTGAAGTAAGCCAGGCCCAAAGAAACACAGGTCCCATGGTTTCCCTTATTTGCAAAAACTAGTAAAGGTCTGAGAGAAGCAGAAAAGATCAGATAAATTGATGTTAGGTGAAATGAACCCCAAGATACATATTCAAATGTTTTTTCTTTGATTCGATTGTTTCAAACATATTTATAAGATGATTTCTTTGTTGCTTTATATGTCCCTCCCCCACGGTATAACCCCTGCTTTCACTGTATTTTTTGTTGGTATTATTTGTGGAGGGGAAGGGAAAAAAATGTTTAAATAGGGATACAGGTGGACCCATTGCAACAATGAGATGCACAAGTCATTATGTCAAAAAACTAACTTTATATCTTTGTTTGGGTGGGGGTAGGGTGGGGCGGTTGGCAGGGTGGGAGATGGGTAGGGATGGGAAGGGATAACAAAGGAGGAGGCAACAATGCTTGATAAGAAATGTACTCATTATCTTGCCCATGTAATTGTAACCCTTCTATACAGTATTTTCACAATAAGAAAAGAAACTGGTAGCAGAGCTTTGGGTCAAGTGCCAGCCATGAGAGAAAAAATGCTAGGGGACACCCATCAGGAGTTAAGATGACACTTCAGTACCAGAGTGTGTGTGAACATGCACACACAGGCACACACACACACACACACACACACACACACACACACACCCTCAATTAGAGAATGGACAGAGAAGAGAAGAAGATAGCTCTGGCATCTCCCAACTCCCATAGGGGTATGTTTCTAATCCTGGGTTTGTACATGAGCCCCATCTTTCTCACTCACTTCCTCACCATGTTCAGTTGCTTCAATAACCCTCACAAATCTCTCATGGCACAAACCCCTCTCCTGAACAAACCCCATACAGGGTGTTTTCACACAACTTGTCTGAGAAGATTTATTCATGACTTCCATAGTTTACAGAGAATTCTGTAGATCTGAAAATATTGAGCTCACCTGGGTCAAAAGCATGAATGAAAGTGTGTATAAAACATATGAAAAAAACAGGCACCTTTGCTCATGCCTGTTATCCTAGCTACTGAGGATCAGGGATCAAAGCCAGCCAGGGCAGAAGAGTCCACGAGACTTATCTACAATAAACCAGTAGAAAATTGAAAGCGGCACTGCGGCCCAAGCAGTAGAGCACTTGACTTAAGCTGAATAGCACAGGGACAGCATCCAAGCCCAGAGTTCAAGCCCCATTATTGACTACATATATATATATATATATATATATATATATATATATATATATATATAAAGAAATCATTCAAATCTAGTTTAGGAAGTTATGAGCATGGAAAAATAAATAAGCCTAGAAAGATGTTGGAGAACAAGGAATGGAAGCAGAGCTTCAGGGAATGACATAGGAGACAGGCCAAGACATGGACATCAGGGCAGATGCTTACTTGCATTAGTTAAGGGCAAAAAATCAAACGTTTCTTGGATCTCTTATCCTTGATCTGTCCAGCAGCTTCCCATTCCCAGAGCTTTGCTGACATGCAATAACCCCAGAAGCAGAAACTGCATGTCTACCCTAAGAAATATTGCCCTGAAGGAGGTCCAAACATTGGTCCTGTTTTGAAAAGTATAAAGAAGAGAATAGATTGAAGATTACCTGACCTTTGCCCTATGAATGGGGACATTGTGCTTTAGTGTCTTCGTATGGACTCTTGGTCACCCCATTGACCCTGAGTAACAGTGATGGTGGGGTGGTCAGGACAGCAACCTGGGACAGGGGAGTGGAATGGAAGACAGACAGAAAACTCTGTACCCTTGGATGAAAGAAAAATATTCATCAGGAAAATCTGAAATGAAGTAGAACTGTTGTAGTGAGGGCAGTGTAGAAGATGCAGAGCACATCAGTGATTGTGTCCAAACTTCCCCCACCTCTGACTGTAACCCAAAGAGAAAATTCAAAATTTAAAAAAACCCAAGAAATCACTTACTGAATGTTCTGTTGCTGCAGGGTAGGGTCATTCAAGTTTTGAATGAACAATTCCCAAGAATAGAGGTGGTAAAATCCAGCAATGACCATATCTCCCCTGCTGTGTGTCACAGATTTCTCTGTGCAAATCCGTCTGCCATCTTCAGAGGAACTGACCAGGTGTGGATGCTGGAGGAGAAGCAGTGTCAGAGCCACAGGGAACATTGTTGCTGCTTTGACCTGGAGCTGTGATTCTGGATGCAGACTCTGATTTCTGTGTCAGGCAGGTGTCTAAATGGATCTTCAGTTTTTGTGGCTTCTTGTTACGTGGAAGGCCTCCACTGTCCTAGAGGAACACAGAGCCCGTTCTGCCCTCTGGCTCTGCATCTGGGGTCTGGCTTAAAGGTCAAAACTCAAGTGAGAAAACATGTGTACCATCTTCCTCTTCACACCCTCAGGAGCATGATTTCATCAAAGACTGTAGATAATGAAACTCCAGGGATGGATTCCTTTCTTGCTGAGTTGTTCACAAACTTTTGTGAAAGCAAACAGTTGAAAAGAAAAAAAGCACACAAAATCAAGGATCACTAGGGATGATGGGAATGGATGACACCAGAAGATGCCATGTGAAGGTCAAATTGTCATAGAGTGCCATGGCCAACAAATGCCCAGTCAGAGTTATCGGAGCACCATCAAAGATGAGGATAGGCAGGCTCACAACCTAGGGCCAAGGGAGACACAGAAGTTTGGTGAAATGACCCATTCAGGTTTTCATACCAACTGCACATGCACAAGCATCCAGAAGAGATCAATGCATTTATTTACTGCTGCAGGTGTTGCCAACAGTCTCCCTGAATTCAATCATTACAGATCAATAATTCAAGGTCAATGCACATATCCAATTGAACATTTTCACTCTGAACCTTGAACATCTTCAGTGCTTGCATATCGTTGACCATCAGACTGCACCTATCAACATATTGTGATGGTCCACTGTTAGACAGAGATGTTCTATGATGGATGACTTTCTGGGAACACAGCAGGCCTGCACACTGAGGATCCTGGTCACTGTGGATGTATGGATGAGTCTTGCTCTGCTGTGTCCCTATCATGTCCTAAGTGCTCCAGGAATTTTTGTTCCTACTTGGACAACTGTGTGGTTCCAGCTCTGTCCATTTCTCCCTACCTGTCTTCTCTATAAGTTCCTCATAATAGAAGTGAAACCAAGGTCACAGCATAGGGTCCTGCTCTGCACAGAGTTCATCATGGTGGCTGGTTCTGTGATCTGGCTGTATATATTTATGAGGAAGGGCTTAGCAAATGTAAGTTGGAAAAGTAAGGATGCAAATGCTACTTGGTGTTGGTAGCCAGCAGGACCTTGCAAAAGGGTCAGTGCTGGGACCAAGCCTGACTTAGGTACTGAGATAGAAATCTTTGTTGTTTCTAATTTTTTTGTCTGTCATGGGGCTTGAACTCTGGGTCTGGGCGCTGTCCCTCAGCTCTTCAGTTCAAGGCCAGTGCTCTACCGCTTGAGCCACAGTGAAACTTCCATTTTTCTAATAGTTTATTGGAGATAAGAGTCTCACAGACTTTTCTGCCTGGGCTGGCTTTGAACCGAGATCCTCAGATCTCAGCCTTCTGAGTAGCTAGGATTACAGGCATGAGCCACCGGCGCCCAGCTCTTTGTTGCTTCTATACTCAGGATTACTGGTATTAGCCACCTGTGGCTGGCTCACAGGACAAACTTTTTTTCTGTTCTCCTCATTTATTACTCTATTTCTGTTTAGTCTGCCCAAGGGAACAGTCCCTCCCCACTTCCTCTTCACCTGCCTGAATCCAGTTGTCACCCTTCAATCACCTGACTGTGAGTCAGCAAAGGTCCCCACACTCTGAGGTCACTTCCTCATCCGAGGAGGTTACTCCCTGAACCACCTTGGTCACACCTACCTAGGTCAGTGAGAAGTTCCCCAAACTCTGTGGTCATTTCCACATCCACTCTGGTCCTGGCTCAGTACAAGTCCCCTTCTCTCTCTTTCTCTTTTCCTCTTTTTCCTTTTCCTCTGTCTTCTCCATGCGCTTCCATGTACTGTGGGAAGGCAGTTTACCTTTTCTGCCTGAACCATGTATCAGCTTTCCTTGCTAGTGAAGCTAACAATTTCTACTTCATTGTCATTGATATCTACTCTAGTACTCTAAGTCTTCTTCTGCCTACATTTCAAAAATGAAAGAAAACTTGGGGATCTGTGTTGGGTGTTAATGCATCCGTCTGTCTGTCTGTCTGTCTGTGTGTATTGTAAATGTGTTGTACAGAGGAGTTACCATTATGTAAGTCAGGTAATAAGTACATTTCTGTTTTGACCATGTTACCCAGTTTTTCCCTCCCTTCCCTGCCCACAGATTGTATGCTTGATTTTTCACATGGTGTCCAGTATCTACCACTACTGCATTTGTCAGGGTGATTTACTGAATACGATGATCTCCACTTCCTCCTATATTCCTGACTCAAACATATAATTGCATACTCAAGACTCCATTGTGTCTGTGTGACTCCATTTACTTTTTCCATTCATGTGTTGATTAGAATGGAGCATGGCTCTGAAACTCAGCTTCTAAGTAGTGTCATGATAAACACTCATCATATGTAAACATAGACATAACCAACACCCATACTAGTGTGTGTGTAATGTGCATGTAATATTATATCTTTTGTCATATTTTGTTACCAATGGTGTTATAACATTACTTTTGGCCATATCCCCATTAGTGTCTGTTATTATTAATTTTCTTGGTAATCAATCAACTTATTCATTGCCAATTATTTTATAATAAGCTCTATTTTATGAAACTCAAGATGTACTCATACCACTTGCTACTTACTTGTACATTTTGTGTGTATAAAAATTGAAGACAGGAAGTGTTGCTGTGACTCAAGTGGTAGAGAGCTAGCTTGAGCTGAAGAGCTGAGGGACAGTGCCCAAGCCCAGAGTTCAAGTCCCACAAAGAACCAAAAGAAAAAAATTGAAGACCATTTTTGCTTCTTAAATCATTTTTTATACAAATGAAACCAGTTTGTTTTATCAATTCCCTTTCTCAAGGCTTTCACTTACTAACTTCCCTCGGTCATGGGACTTGAACTCTGGGTCTGGGTGCTGTCCCTCAATCTTCAGCTCAAGGAGAGTGCTCTACCACTTGAGCCACAGAGCCACTTTTGGTTTTCTGGTGGTTAATTGGAAATAAAAGACCTATGGAGTTTTGTGCCTAGGCTGGGTTAGAACCGTTATCCTCAGATTTCAGCCTCCTGAGTAGCTAGGATTACAGATTTTTAAAAGATGTAAAGTAGTAATCCTTAGACAAACCGGTTGTAAACTGATATTTCCCATTTGGTTTTATAGAAGGTGAACAGAAGAATCACATGTAGACTGACATTGCAAGAAGAGTCCAAACTTGACAAACTTGAGGTATCTTAGACCATTTCTCTTGGGTATTTTCAAAATGCAGCTAATTGCATCACTTTACATATCACTCTTGTAACTTTCATCGGGTAATATTGAAGGAAAGCAACTTTTAGTTAGAAACACTCATACATTGGCCTTTTAGTGTGCAAGGAATTGAGCAACTATAATAAAAAAAAGAATTGAGCAATAGCTGGGAGCCGGTGGCTCAAACCCATAATCCTAGTTACAAGGCTGAGATTTGAGGATCATGGTTCAATGCCAGCCCAGGGAAAAAACTCCGTGAGACTCTTATCTCCAATAAACCACTAAGAAAACTGGAAATGGTGCTGTGGCTCAAGAAGTAGAGTGCTTGCCTTGAGCTGAAGAACTGAGGGACAGAGCATAAGCTCAAAGATCAAGCCCTATGATCGACAAAAAAAATTGAATAAGATAAATTAGGTTTTACATTGAGGTAAATAGCTAACCAAAGCCAGAAAAATTTAAACATAAGTACTACTCTTTTTCTTTGTCCTAAAGGAAACCACAATGGGAAAAATAGAGCAAAAAAAGTTGAACAAATTGCATATTGTCTATCTGAACCATATCTATAAGAAAGTAGAAAATCTTTACACTCACTCCACGATTGTTTTATCAAAGGAATCCGGGGGCAGGTATGAGTTTGGATGGGTTAGTATTGGCAAGAAGTGGCATAATAAGAGAAGAAAAATAAGAAAACCATGAAACTCAAGGCAATATTCTTAGTTTTGGATGTTCTCAAATCCAGTTAGAGAATTTCTACCTCCTATCCCTTTGGCTGGTGGAAACTACCAGTATATTGCCAGATCCTCCTGGGAACGTACACAGAGACTTCCGGATCATAGTACCCTGTCTCATTGGTCCATGAGCCGTTCACCACCTGTTAGTGCAGGCATGCAGCTTCTGGCTCTTGGAGCTTCCAGATCGACCGCTCCCAGGCCAACCAACCTAGATGGTAGGCCTCACCACGTGCATCAACCCATCCCCAGATAGGACAAGCAGGGTGTCCAAGCTGCCGAGCTCCTGAGCATGGTTTGGCGCCTCTGGGGAAAGATGGGGCTCAGGGTCTTGCTCTGGAAGGGGAAGGATACTCCCAGCATGCCCTGGGGCATGGGGCAGTGAGCATCATAGGAAGCAGACCTGGGCCTTGAGCATGAGGGACTGCATGTGGTTCTGGAATACCGCAGGGCCTTGCCCGTATCTGGGCGCAGGTTCAGCAACACCAACACTGGGCAGATCCTGAGCAGCAGGCCCAGGGAGCACGGGTGGGATCCATAGCCTATTCCTGCTATTCTGGTCCTTCTTCTGTTGAGGTGTCTCACCTGCCACAGTGGACATCTCTTTACTTTTTTTTTTTTTTGTCCTGCTCAGGTAGATTTGGTTGGTTTTCTTTTTTTTAATTAATAAGCTTTTCATCGTGAAATTACCATACAGAGCAGTTACAATTACATGAGAAAGGTAATGAGTACATTTCTTATCAAGTTTTTTGCCTTCTTCTTTGTTTCCCCTCACTATCCCTGCCCTCCCATCTTCCCACCCTCCACCTCCCCCCTTTGTAAGTCTTCCTTTAATATATTGGATATTTTTTTCTCTCCCCATTTTTTATTTCCTGGTATCTGCTGAGCCTTTGGCATCATTGGTACTGCCCATAGTTTCATCCACAGATGATCATTAGAAAAGACATCACTTGCTTAAAAAAAAAATAAAGACAGGATTGATGGTTTTCAGAGTTGTGTGGTGGGAAGAAAAGGAAATAAGAGTTAATTTATGGAAAAAAGTGTGTGTGTGTGTGTGTGTGTGTGTGTGTGTGTGTGTGTGCCAGCCCTGGAAGTCAGGACCCAAATTCCCTTTCTTGGCTTTGTAATTCACAAGTAGCATTTTACCATTTGAGAAATACCTCCGGTCCCATATTTTTACTTGTAATTTAAAAATGGAGTCCCATAGAGTTTTCTGTCCAGGCTAATTTTGAACTGTGATCCTCAGATCCAAGCCTTCTAAAGTAGCCATTGGTATCTGACTTGAAAAAAATTACGTGTATAATATTGAAATTAATAATGAATTTAATAGTAGACATCCAAAAGACTGTGAAAAGTTAATACATATGATGCAAGGTTTTATTCAGTATTCTAAAACAGTAACACTTTTTCTTTATTGAGAGTAATTACATAAATTTCACAGTATTGTGGCATAGTGACACTTAGCTAAAGTCACTAACACAATTTAACCTTCACAATGCATCTTGTCATTGTCTTCATCTACAAAGCTTATGAACTCTGCAGACTTTAACAATAAAACTGTTTCTCCCAAATCGGATGATATGCACATTTCTTTCCTTTTGCTCAGTGTCTGCGGTTTTCTCTTTCTTTCTCTTTACTTCCCTCCCATCACCAGCCTTGAGTTGCTCAGTTCACTTTCATCAATGACCAGTGCAGCTGATGGGCCCCGCTGTTGTATTTTTTCACCCATTTTCCTATAGTTCTTTGCCCTCTTCTTAGCTGCCCTTAGATGTGCACGCTTATACACCATATATGCGGTCCAGTATATAGAGTCATCTAGAAACTATATAACAAATTAAGAAGCCAATCTTTGTTTCTTGTGTCTTGCTTACTTTGTCATATCTCATTGTAAAACAGTAACACTTT